GGGCCAGGCCGGGTGCGCCATCGCCACTCGCCCTGCCGGCCTTCCCAACCGGCCCGCCGGGTGTCCGGGCAGTGCAGGCCCTGCCTGCCTCCTCCAGGGAATGGTGACACGGCCTAGGGGGGAGCAGGGGCGCTCGCCTTTCCTGCCTCCGGCTTGCTCATATGCTGTCCCCTTCTGCGGCCCCGAGGGATGGAGCTGTCGCTTTCTGCCCGAGGTTCGTGCTGTTCATGCTCGTCCCATCTGCGGTTGTTTCCCCTGCAGGTTCTTACAATGGCTGAGGATTTGATAGCAGCGGTTGCCAGCCAGACAAAGAGGCTCAACAGCAGCAGCGAGGTGGTTCAAAGGCTGGAAGAAAACGGGCATCAAAACAAAAGGTTGAAGAGCGATGCGGATGAGGAAGATGCAGAGGATCAGAATAAGAAGTCACCCAAAAGGAAGATTGTGCTGTTGATGGCATATTCAGGGAAAGGCTACCATGGCATGCAGGTATGGAGTTTGGCAAGGCAGCATCTCCAGCGTATTTTTTGTTTTGGAATCTGTTCGGTTTAGTCAGTGCCTGGGTAGGGAATCAGTTGAGCATTTGCAGTGTGAAAAACCGGGACAGGAACAGTGCATGAATGGGTTCAAATGGTTTGGTAGTAACTTAATTTTTAAAAGTCAGTGGTGCATCTCTGGTGATTCTAGGAACACTACTTTGTCATGGCACCAGACGTGGCTGTGCAGGGTGGTCTGTGGCACGGAGCTCGCAGCCAGAGGGTGATCCTGCTCCATCTGCTGCTCCTCTCCACGTACTGCAGGCTCCGTACACTTAAAGAATACTTCAGAAGCTCCAGGGGATAACTGATAATCTTGCACACAGGCAGGGAAGGGAGCCTTTCATGGTTCTACAACAAAGGAGGTTTTTTCACCAGCAGTCAACCTCATGCTTACAGGCACATCATCATCTTTCTAGAAGAAAAAATTGCAGAGGCTGGGTTTGGAGCAGCAGCTGTTAACTTGCAGGCACTGGGACAGTATTGGTGCTGTTTCATGCAGCTGATGGAATCATCAAAAACCTCCAGAAGTGTTGCACAGTGAAATTAGAAATGAGCCCTTATTTGCCAGAACAATAACAGCTAAATCAGAATCATGTTTTATTAACACTCTCTGGTAAAATAGAGTTAGGTTTGTTAGAGAATGGCTCTTAAGGCTGTAAAAGGAAGACTTTTAAAGAATTTCACATTTGATGAATGAAATTTCCATCTTCATTTATTCAGTTACTGTGATTTGTTCTATTTCTTATTTTTACTACATATGGCCTCTTAGAGAAATGTGGGATCTTCCCAGTTCAAGACAATTGAAGATGACCTAGTCTCTGCCCTTGTTCAGTCTGGATGCATCCCAGAAAACCACGGGGAAGACATGAAGAAGATGTCTTTCCAGCGCTGTGCTCGAACAGATAAGGTAGGTTGGGCAGGGCTGTGTTCTCCTAAACTCTGGGGTTTACACACCTCTGCTGCTGGGATGGACTGCCAAAGCATTGTCCAGAGGGAGATCCAGCAGTGAATGTTGCTTGAAACTTCTCCTTTTGTCCACTATTAAATTAAAGTACAAGCAAATAAACTTGTTATTCAGCTATTTCAATCCTGCAAGTGCTATCCTAGAGCTTCCAAAGTGCATGATTATGTGGGTTTTTGTGTATATGGTTTTTACAGGGTGTGTCTGCAGCTGGACAGATTGTGTCACTCAAGGTCAGGCTAATAGATGACATCTTAGAAAAGATCAATAATCATCTTCCTTCTCACATCAGAATTCTGGGTAAGAGCACTGAAATGGACATAGAAAATGTTTTCAAGAGAAGCTTTCTCCTGCAGAAGGTCTCTCTCTTACCATTATAATTTTGCTTATAAGGGGTTTAGTTTTAACACGCTTCTATTAGCTTGAAATTTGGGCTCTTCTGAACAAATCTATTTTTTGTTTGTATTTTGTTTAAAAAAATTCTTGTTGGTAGGAGTGAGGTCACAATCAATCTGTAACCTCCTGATTCAAAAACCTAATGTCACTTAAATCCAGGCCTGAAGAGAGTCACCGGGGGATTCAACTCCAAGAACAAATGTGACGCCAGAACCTACTCTTACATGCTGCCAACGTTTGCCTTTGCCCATAAGGACCATCAGGTGCAGGAAGAGCTTTTTCGGCTGGACACAGAGACCCTTGAAAGGGTCAATAAACTGCTGGCCTGCTACAAAGGGACACACAACTTCCACAACTTCACATCACAGAAGGGCCCCAGGGACCCCAGTGCCAAGCGCTACATCATGGAGATGTACTGTGGCGAGCCCTTCGTCAGGGAAAACATGGAGTTTGCAGTGATCAAAGTGAAGGGTCAGAGTTTCATGATGCACCAGATCAGGAAGATGATTGGGCTGGTGATAGCAATTGTGAAAGGTTATGCTGCTGAGTCCATCATGGAACGCAGCTGGGGAGAGGAGAAGGTCGACGTCCCCAAAGCCCCAGGACTTGGGCTGGTTTTGGAGACAGTACACTTTGAAAAATACAACAGGCGTTTTGGGAATGATGGGCTGCATGAGCCACTGGAGTGGACAGAGGAGGAGGAGAAGATTGCTGTTTTCAAAGAGCAGTACATCTATCCTACCATTATCAACACAGAAAGGGAGGAGAAATCCATGGCAAACTGGCTTAACACCCTCCCCATTCATGACTTCAACTCATCTGCTGTTGAGATGCAAACTAACAACAAAAATTCAAAGGTAATGACTGAAGCCATTATTTTTCAAATGGAAGCTGTCAAGTTGAAACATCTTTTCCCTTTGTAACATTTTTGTTTTCCATGAAGTGCCTTAGAAATGACAGTCATCTGGAGTATGAAGTGTGTATAATCTTTTCTGTCTTTGTGCACTTGATGATAGTGGAATGAACTGTACAAAGCATTGTTTTTGCAGGGTTTTACAGGGAGTAGTTGAGGGAGGAGGGAAAGCTTTAAGCACAAGCAATTTACATAATCATAAACTGGCAACAGAAATTATGGACACAATGCCAGCCTTTGATGTTGTGAAAGTGTTTGGGAGTCTAGGTTTCAGGTTGACAATTTTGCTTTAAATACCTGCTGGCTTTTCGTATTCTCTGATTTTGGGCCAGTTCTCATTTTGTTATCAGATAAGGTTTGGGATCAGGGAAATTTAGGACCAGTTCTTTAAAATTAGTCTGCCATGAGCTCAAAATAGGCCATCAGAACAATTTCTGAGTAACTGGGATATTGTGGAATTGGATTTGTGCCAGCAGGAGCTCCTGTGAGCTGTAAGGTGCAATACACCAAAGGTGTAGAATATAATTTTTGTCAGAAGGAAATTTCAGTTAAAGGCTGGTAAGTCCTTGAAGGATGAACGATGGACAGGGTTAAAACTTCTGTGTAGTGCAACTCAGAATAAAATAATGACCTTTTTCATTTAACAGAGTTCTTAAAATTACCTTTATTTTGTGTAACAAATGGAGAATGTTGCATTTAATTATGTCTACCATTTTTTGCTTGAGTTCAAGAAAGAGTTTCATCACATAATATAAAACTTAGAGCCTTGTTGAATACCACAAGCAGGATACTGTAAGTTTCTCAGGGTTATTTTTGTACTTCTGGTAATCCTTTTCTGAATTCTGGGTATGTGAGAGGGGTGTTTGTGACAGGAGGTCATGGCAAAAGCCACATTATTTTGGTTAAATGGGACCCAAAGAGATGATGTGGCTCCTTTACCTGGTGATGTTGGCAGGACCTGGTGCTGCCAGGCTCCCAATCCCTGACATGTTCCTGGAAGGAGGCAGCTTCTGCTCCCTGCAGATAGACCCGACCAAGTTTGGCTTTGGCATCACAGTTAGCACAAGCTGTCTGGGAAGGATAAAAAAGGCATGATGTGACAGACTCTGCTGAGATTCTGCAGGCTGTTTGCACTTCAGTGAGCTGTGCTTGCTGGTATGTAGTCAACTGTGTGAGTGCCTTGGAGTTTGTTTTGTAGTAGTATATTAAATTGCCAGTGTTAAATTCGTGGGATTTGATGTTTTCAACAAGTGGTGGTGAGGGGAAAAACTACAGACATAGAGTCTATAGATATACTATGCTAGCTTCTCTTTATAAAAATACTTTTATATCTGTCTTAAAAGTTAAAATACTTGCTTAAAAAAAATACATAAACCCCCAAATTAATTGCACCATATTGCCTTACTCCTGAAGGAGTGGCTCCCAGAGAAGAACTGACTTCAGTCTCCTTGTAAGTTTCTAACATCTGTAATTTTTCCTTTTTTGCACTACTGTGTGCAACTGACTTCACTTTTAAACAAGTATTAGTGAGTCCTTATCTGCAGTACAGGTTGGACATAAATTCTCTGCAGCAGACAAATTTCTTAAATCTGGCTTTAGATGATATAACAAGTTTGGCTTTTGAGGGACTTGCATAAAACAATACTTAATTTGTCTCACTGACATTTATTTTAAATATCAACATTTCATGTTACTGTCTCACTTTAAAGTTTCCCACACACTGTAGGTTGTAATTATGGAGTTGTAGATTTACGTAAGAAAATTTCTCTGCTGGTAATTGTAAGCCAAAGAACATTTTTTGTTACATGAAGCATCTTTACCACCACAGGTGTTTTCTACAATAGATGGATCTATCCCATGGATTTAGGATCCACGACTATTGTCTTACTATTGTGGAGGAGTTCAGAGTCAGTATCTTTGATTTAGGTCAGTCTGGGGATGTAAATGCAACACTGATAAATCATTTTGTGTTTTGCTTTGCAGAAGAGCAGCGATATCGAAGGCAGCGATGGTTGTGGTGATGATTCTGACTGAACCAGCAAGTGGCTGGCCGTGGGACCCTTTGTCTACAAAAAGTGGCCTTTCTAAACCCAAGAATCCAGTGAAACAGGAGTTTGTGTGCTTGCAGAATGAGAACTGGATGCCCAGGAGAAGCTGGGTGGGGAAGACAGTGCAGCAGAAAAAACAGAAGCTTTTTATACCACTGACTGATTCACCTGACTGATATACTTGAAAACAGTGTAGTGGGAAAGCAGCTTCCTGAAAAAATCTTGAAATGCAGGATATCCTAATTGCTATTTGAATAATGTTTTATAATGTTTACTTGGAAAATAGTATTTTAACTATGTATAATCTCTACGTAAAGATGGGGCAAATCATTTTAATATACACTTTTTTTATTATGAAGTTGCAACTTCATGAGCTTTTGATTTTTTTAACAATTTACCTTTACTTGAACTGAATCTCCCAGCTTTTATTTTTCATGTCATCCATGGTTTTCCTATGGAATAACATGCATGACCCTGAGATTAACTCAGTTATCTACAGTGTGGTGCTAAAAATGCCCAGGTTGTGGATTCAATTCCTTTATGGGCCATTCACTTAGAGTTGGACTTGTTGATGCTTATGGGTCCCTTCCAACTCAGAATGCTCTGTGATTTAGAACCTATGGGTTAGGAACTCATTATCATGCTGACTGCCATGAACCCTTTTGGTTTTAAAACAAGTTTCTGTGTTCTCTAGAGCTTTGCAGGTCTGAAAGAAATGATTCCTTACTCAGTGAAAGGGCTTCTGTTTGGAATGTGGACTGAACCATACATTCCAAGATGAGACATTTTCTGTGGAAGGTGCCATCCTGCCAGCATTGCCTTTGTGTGTGGGCAGGTTCAAGGATATAAATCCACAGCTCCAGGAGTACTTGGGCCTTTGCTGCCTGAGGTGTAACCCAGAAATCCTTTTGAGCCATCCGCAGGATCCAGAGTTTAATTGATTTGGCATGTGTGAAAGAAATGGTGCTGAATTCTCTGGGCTTCAATCAGGCTGGGTTTGTGAACTCTTCAATCCCATCAGGCTCCTCAGAACAGGGAATGTATGCAGTGATATGGGAGGCACGTGTCTGAGCACTGCCATCCTCTGGGAATCTATTTTAATTTTCAGTGTTTTCAGGAATTCCATATCCTGGAGTTCATGCTCCTTTTTCCCATCAGTGTTTAACTTCTGGTTCTTGTTTCCAGCTCTCTGGAGGTGGCAGAAGAAATTACACCCTCCTGCCTTACCAACCTGCAGAACACTATTGAAATACTGGAATAAGACTGCAAGCGTTTGGATATTCCCTTGCTTGAGTCTGTGTGGAGTCTTGCTTTCTAATTACTGAAAATAAGGAGTCAACTCTTTGTTCCCACATATAGTGGGTTTTGGCCAAAGCCTTTAATTTTATAGTTCCTTCTGGAATGATTCTTCTGGTTTTGAAGGGTTTTTTTTTTTGTTGGTGGCAATTTGGGGGTATTTTTTGGGGCACAGCTGTACTTTTAAAAAATGATTCCCATGTTCATTTTATCTGGGTTTTCTTTAGAGCTTTTTATCGTGAAGGTCTTGCTTGATTTTATAAGAGCAAGTGTATAGAAGTGTCCTGGAGAGAGTTTCTGCCTGGATTTTCATTTACATCCCTTCCTGGTCCCTACCCTGCATTACCTTCCGTCCAAAGCTCCATTTCCCCATGCCATTCAATCTGAAAAAAAAAAAATATCTTTATCTACTTATAATAAAGGCCCCAAAGCTGTGATATGTACCACAGTTGAAATCAAAGAGAAAATTTATTTGTAGAGGGAAAAAAACATGAATAACAGTAATTAATAATAATAATAATACTAATAAATACTTAATGGTCGTGGCTCCCCCTCTGTGCGGGTGGGAGCGCCTGGCGGCGGTGTCCCCCCCGCGCTGGGAGGTGAATGGTATCGCCGCTCGCGGGGCAGGGCGGGGCCTGG